CCATCTTTTCCCCCTCCGGTAAAAGGAAAGGGGGAGGCCGAATTGGACTAGGGGCCCAAGTAGGATTCCTCCTACTTGGGCGCGCCCCAGGCTGCCTCTCTTCCCCTTCCTCCTTTATATACGTGGGGAGGGGGCGCCTAGAACACACAATATTGATTCCTAGCCGTGTGCGGCGCCCCCCTCCACAGTTTACGCCTCCGGTCATATTCACGTAGTGATTAGATGAAGCCCTACACGGATCACTTCACCATCACTGTCACCACGCCGTCATGCTGATGCAACTCTCCCTCGACACTTTGCGGGATCAAGAGTTCGAGGGACGTCATCGAACTGAACGTGTGCAGAACTCGGAGGTGACGTACGTTCGGTGCTTGATCGGTCGGAACGATAAGAAGTTTGACTACATCAACTGTGTTGTCAAAATGCTTCCGCTTTCGGTCTACGAGGGTACGTGGACACACTCTCCCCCTCTCGTTGCTATACATCTCCTAGATAAATCTTGCGTGAGCTTAGGAATTTTTTTAAAGTTGCATGCTACGTTTCCCAACAAGATTGTTTCAGACGCTTATTCCTGGATAGGAGTGCAGACAACATAGAGAAGTACAAGATAGTGAATAAGGTCGCAAAGCGAGCTGTCGGTGAAGCAAGGGGTCGAGCGTATGAGGACCTCTACCAACGGTTAGGCATGAAGGAAGGCGAAAGGGACATCTCTAAGATGGCCAATATCCCAGAGAGGAAGACGAGGGATATGGCCAAGTCAAATACATCAAGGATGGAGCAAACCAACTCTTGGTGAAGGACAAGGAGATTAAGCATAGATGGCGGGAGTACTTTGACAAGATGTTCAATGGGGAGAATGAAAGTTCTACCATTGAACTGGACGACTCCTTTGATGAGACCAACATGCGTTTTATGCGGCGAATCCAGGAGTCTGAGGTCAAGGAGGCTTTAAAAATGATGAAAGGAGGCAAGGCGATGGGCTCTGATTGTATCCCCATTGAGGTGTGGAAAGGCCTTGGGGACATAGCGATAGTATGGCTAACCAAGCTTTTCAACCTCATTTTTCGAGCAAACAAGATGCCAGAAGAATGGAAACGGAGTATATTAGTACCAATGTTCAAGAACAAGGGGGGTGTTCAGAGTTGTACTAGTTACCGTGGAATTTAGTTGATGAGCCATACAATGAAGATATGGGAGAGTGTCATTGAGCACCGCTTAAGAAGAATGACAAGCGTGACCAAAAATCAGTTTGGTTTTATGCCTGGGAGGTCGATAATGGAAGCCATTTTTCTTGGTACGACAATTTATGGAGAGATGCAGGGAGCAAAAGGACTTGCATATGATATTCGTTGACTTAGAGAAGGCCTATGATCAAGGTTGTCAGAGTCGCGATTTTGAATCGGATCGGAACTCTGATTGTAGGATCGCAAATCGTAGAATCTTCACTATCAAGATCGTAGAAACGTAGATTCCATGAACTAAAATCATAGAATCAGAGAGCTTAGTTTGGATCGTAAAGTCGTAGAATCGTATAACAGAATCGCGATTCTGACAACCTTGCCTATGATAAGATACCGTGGAATATCATGCGGTAGGCCTTGGAGAAACACAAAGTCCCAACAAAATATATTGCCCTCATCAAGGACATGTACGATAATGTTGTGACAAGTGTTCGAACATGTGATGTCGACACTGATGACTTCCCGATTAAGATAAGACTGCATCAGGGGTTAGCTTTGAGCCCTTATCTTTTTGCCTTGATGATGGATGGGGTCACAAGGGATATACAAGGAGATATCCCATGGCATATGCTCTTTGTGGATGATGTGGTGCTAGTTGATGATAGTCGAACGGGGGTAAATAGGAAGTTAGAGTTATGGAGACAAACCTTGAAATCGAAAGGGTTTAGGCTTAGTAGAACTAAAACCGAGTACATGATGTGCGGTTTCAGTACTACTAGGTGCGAGGAGGAGGTTAGCCTTGATGGGTAGGTGGTGCCTCAGAAGGACACCTCTCGATATTTGGGGTCAATGATGCATGAGGATGGGGGTATTGATGAAGTTGTGAACCATCGAATCAAAGCCGGATGGATGAAGTGGCGCCAAGCTTCTGGCATTCTCTGTGACAAGAGAGTGCCACAAAAGCTAAAAGACAAGTTCTATAGGACGGCGGTTCGACCCACAATGGTGTATGGCGCTGAGTGTTGGCCAACTAAAAGGCGACATGTTCAACAGTTAGGTGTGGCGGATATGCATATGTTGAGGTGGATGTGTGACCATATGAGGAAGGATCGAGTCCGGAATGATGATATACGAGATAGAGTTGGGGTAGCACCAATTGAAGAGAAGCTTGTCCAATATCGTCTGAGATGGTTTGGGCATATTCAGCGCAGGCCTCCAGAAGCTCCAATGCATAGTGGACAGCTAAAGCGTGCGGAGAATGTTAAGAGAGGTTGGGGTAGACCGAATTTGACATGGGAGGGGTCCGTTAAGAGAGACCTGAAGGATTGGAGTATCACCAAAGAACTAGCTATGATTAAGGGTGCGTGAAAGCTTACTATCCATGTGCTAGAGCCATGAGTTGGTCGTGAGATCTTATGGGTTTCACCTCTAGCCTGCCCCAAACTAATTTGGGACTAAAGGCTTTGTTGTTGTTGTTATTGTTCTGGTTTGTCAGAAAATATCCAAGTATTTGTTTCAGCATATGGTGCTTGTTTGTGATTTTTCAGAAAATTAATTCAGAGGTGGATGTGTGTAAACGCAAATATCTGCTCATGCATAATTTACCTTCAAAAGGAACATCAGAGCACATACCATTGCAATGCATTGTTAAATGATTATTTCAACACTGGCATGGATAAAGATGAACTTACGTCAACTTGTTTTCAATAGTTCACAATTATTATTTCCATACATCACAAACACCAGAATACTTCCCAATAGTTTAAAAGCTTCAATTGAAAGGAAAGCAAGAGTACAAACACAATACTACCGAATTATGGAGTTCCAAGTTCAAAAAAAAAAATGATAGTAGAGATGACTAGGAAACTGCTACATTTTTTCAATTAGGACCGGAAGTGAACCACAGCAACAGAAGCCAAACCCAACCCCTCTGTTATCTGCTTCCGCTCCTCAGCTGTAGGTGGATATCTTGATGGACATACATTGTCCTTGATCTCAGGATCCAAGTCATCACAGCGCCCACACACCTTCCTGTCGTACAGAGATATCTCTGTTATATTAACCGCATGTTCCACAATACACCTAATGTATCGCATAAAATTGTCGTCGGGTTGGAACCCGTAGATGGTGAGCTTAGCCAGATTCTTGTGCTTGAAATCAGGGGCATATGGCTTCCACTTCACGTCTGCCTTCTCGCAGAAACAATATTTCTTCCGTAACTCTTTGTTTGTTATCATTATGCACCAATGATCCCACACTGTGATGCACAGCTCTTTTAGGGAGGGTGCAGCTTCAAGAATAAACATTGTCCAAGCTAAATCACATCCTTCAGGAAGATGTTCCAGATTCACATGCTGTAGTTTGTTGAGCACGGGCTTGAGCAGTTTTGGGCATTCTGGTAGAATCCAAATCTGGGATAGAAAAAAAAATTAACAAAATTACTATTGTCAAATATAACCATCATAGAGTGAGAATGGACAGATAAGATTCAAATGACTAATGGATACCTTTTCACTTCCAAAATCCAGACACAGATCGCCTATGGAAGGAACATTAGCAAGGAGCTGACTTAACTCGAGAGTCTTGTCCGAACGGATGCCAGTTTTAACAAGGCTCAGCTTTGAAAGCTGTGGTACGAAACCGAAATACAACGGATCCTCAGAAGAGAACCAATTATCATAGGTCAACCGTTGGAGTTTTGGTAGACATATCAGCTCAACTCTCTCAAACTTCCCTTGGTCGACCTCGATCTCAACAAGTTGATCGTGTTCTACTTGCAGCACAGAATGGAACCCTGAGTCACAACGGGTTAAACGCAAATACTCCAAGCGCTTGCAAGTGCTGAGGATGTTGGGAATGTCTAGTTCACCAAACCTCATATTTTGCAGCCACAGACTCGTAAGGCCAGCAAATGCACGCGGACAAGCACCAAATAAATCATTCAACTGCTTCCCAAACTGGAGGAGGTCATCAGAAGAGCAGAGGTCATGACGCTTTTTCGTTACAATCTCAAACTCAGCTGTGCCAACCTTCTGGGTTGCCATGGCACGGGCAACAAATCTTCCAATGGTTAGGGAGACATCAGGCAATAAGACAAATCTGATTTTGAGTTCGCTGATGGTAACCTTCGGGCTCCTTGTGCTCAAGATGTTATCCGCTACATGAGCCACAGCACGGTTGGTTCTGAACACTTGCTTGCGGCTGAAAGTTAGGTAGAAGCGTGAGAGCATGGTAGGAAGCTTCAGCAGTTGCTTGGAGAGAATGCAGGTCCTTATGGCATCGAGTGTGTCCACCCTCTCCAGAATGTTGAGCAGAAGGTCATTGGGCAGCTTGCTAAGCCTGTCTTCGCTTGCGTTGCTAGCAGCGGCTTCGTTGCGAGTAGCTTTTAGCTGAAACAACAAATAATCAGCCTTTTGAGGATGAACCTTATGTTGTGTACAAACACCAGGCACACTTACATTCTGCCTGCGACGACCATTCTTGTTGCCAGCAGCGGCTTCGTTGAGAGCTGATTTCTGCATTGCATTTAGCAGGAAAAAACAACAGATCAGCAGCCTAGCCATGAGGGGATTTCCCCATGAGGACGAATCGAAGGGAAGGACAAATATCAGGCACAAAAGAATCAGCACTTACCCTGGGACGACCGCTTTTGTTCTTCATGGCTGATAGGATCAACAAATGACCTTAGGATATCTACCTTATTGGATCTGTGACAACGGAGGACGCCTGAGCTGGCCTTATTCGAATCCCCCGTTCTCCTCCTCTGTTTATCTAGGCCGGCGCAACAAAGCAGACTAATCGCCGGCGAAAAACAAATCGGGGACGCCAATTTATTAGATCGATATAGGCGGCCCCTCCACCTCCGACTCGGCCCGCTCTCCTCCAAAAGGGAGGAGATTATTCAGAGGAGAGGGAGGAGGATCCGGATTTACAGCTTCTCCGAATAAAAATCACTCCTTTTGGACTGCCCTCGTCGCACAATCCGAAATCGGCCTTCTCTCTTCCCTGATTACACAAGGAAATCAAATCTTCTCCCGCCTCCGTCTCCCGCGAGATTATTTCCCCCGGAACGCAGCCAGGCATAGTTACCCAGGCTGCATAGGTGGTGGCCGGCGGCGGACGGCAGGGCCGGGGGTTGTCACGGGGGATGGCAGTGGAGGAGAGTGGTGGGTGGCCGGCGGAAGACGGCAGGTTGGGTAGGGAGGCTGTCGCAGGGGATGGCACGGGGTAGAGTGGTGGTGGGCGGCGGGGGAGCGCCGAGGGGGGTGCCGCAGGGGGCGGCGGCGCCTACGGCCGAGGGGATGGATCCGCAACATCGGCTATGGTTTCCTCTTATGCTACCATTTTGTTTTTTGAGAGAAAGTTCTTCTGATTCTTTTTTCCCCAAGCGTTTGGGCCACTTGACTGAACATCCTAAGCGGTAGGGCCATTCTTCTTCGGCCCACCGACAGAAAAATAAACATCTGAAAAAACAGAATTAGCGCCAATGATTTTATTATCTAAAAAAAAGCTCCTACGATTCTATAGGAGGGGGACTTTTGGTCTCACCATGTATGAAAATAAATTAGTAGCAAGGTATCTTGCATTTTTCCTGTGTTCAATGGAATGAGACATTCTCATCGACTACGAGGCACCTATGATAACTTGTGAAAAAAAATCATAAAAAGAAAAATCCCCTTTGAATTCTTTTCATAAAAAACAAATTTTTGGCAAAAAATAGTATAAATAGTGCCCTATAATAAAAAATGAATTTGTTATTTTTGCCATGAAGTCAACGCTCATTTTTAGTCGTGAAAAATTATATACTAGTGCAAAAGAAAGTCAAGTTTATTTCTAAAAAAACTTCTAGACTATTTTGATTTTTTTTGTAATTATTAAAAGAATCCCAAATATGGTGCAGATACAACAAGAAACCAAAGTGTATTTCCCCAATTTTATACTCCTACTAGTACAAAGCCTATGAGTTGCAACGGTCAATGTCCAAGGACGTGTTTGGTTGAGTTTATTTCCTCTTTGCATGTGTGTCAAAGATGGGCCTGGCTGAGATAAAACGAACTAAAAACCAGCATCGGCAAATAATTTAGTTGTGTGTATCTAGGTTGGCTCAAGAGGGAACCAATATTGACCCGCCGTTTGGTTGCTTGTTTGTAGTGGGCGCACAAACTATACGGTGCTTAGTTGCAAACTATATAAGATGTTATCACCACTTCTTACTAGTGGTGACCTTGCCACACATGATCTGAACTTAGTTTCAGTCCTAAGTAGAAAAAAAAAATCATAGTTCATCCTATCTACTAAGGCCTTATACAATGGTAGGTGCCTATGCACAGATGCTTAAAGAAAAAAAATAGCTTTGCGCCTCATCTTGCAATGCAGAGGTGCCATGCAAAGGTGCTTCGTTTTTGAGATGGAGGCATTGGGGTCTTTTTTCTGAATGTTTTTTCTGTGGATGGAGGCCTGAAGGGAGCAGTTATTCCTTCCAAGCACCGGCTGGCACCGAAGCAAACATTTGCTTCTACCTCCCTTCTTAAGCACCGGTGCAATCCCATGTGAGTAAAAAAACCGGGTTTTTTTCTATGGCATCTGGCTAAGCACCCACCGTTGTATAGGGCCTAACAAATATCATTACAAATATAACAGACAAAGGGCTCAATTGGGGAAAGTTCATCGATGTTGAACTAGTTGGAAGTCCATCCCCGTCCTCCTCCTCCTCCCCCTCCTCCTCTTCTTCTATCGGCAACCACAGGGGTCCTTAGCAAAAGATAACAGAGTTGGAAGAGCATATCTCAGCCGTCCTATGGGCAACCACTGGTCATGCCAGAAGGATATCAGCGAACCCTTCCCTTCCCCAAAGAACAACAAGGGTGAGGGAGTCCCGGATTAAGGGATCCTCGGGCGTCCGGACTATTTACATGGGCCGGACTATTGGACTATGAAGATACAGGACAGAAGACTTCTCCCCATGTCCGGATGGGACTCTCCTTTGCGTGGATGGCAAGCTTGGTGATTCAGATATGTAGATTCCTTTCTCTGCAACCGACTTTGTACAACCCTAGTCCCCTCTGGTGTCTATATAAACCAGAGGGTTTAGTCCGTATAGATAAGGATAATCATACAGGCTAGACTTCTAGGGTTTAGCCATTACGATCTCATGGTAGATCAACTATTGTAATACTCATATTCATCAAGTTCAATCAAGCAAGAAGTAGGGTATTACCTCCATAGAGAGGGCCCGAACCTAGGTAAACATCGTGTCCCCCGCCTCATGTTACCATTCGACCTCAGACGCACAGTTCGGGACTCCCTACCCGAGATCCGCCGGGTTTGACACCGACATTGGTGCTTACATTGAGAGTTCCGCTGCGTCGTCATCAAAAGGTTTGATGGATCCATCAATCATCTACAACAATATAGTCCAGGGGAGATTTTCCTTCCCGGACAGATCTTCGTGTTCGGCGGCTTCGCACTGCGGGCCAACTCACTTGGCCATCTAGAGCAGATCGACAGCTACGCCCCTGGCCATCGGGTCAAATTTGGAAGCTTGAATTATGTTGCCGACATCCACGGAGACTTGATCTTCGCCGGATTTGAGCCCACGACAGCCGCTCCCTGCCATCACGATGAACATGACCTAAATCTGTCATCGGAATGTGCCTAGGAAATAGCGCCCATAACTGCTCTGGCCCTAGATCCGGAGCAAATTGCGCTGTCCGAGGACGGGAAGCTCAATCCCGTCGCGGAAGTCGCAGACTCGGCGGTGTTAGAGCCTCACACAGATCCAGCCTCGAGCGGGGCCTGTGTCAACGGAACCTCGGATTCGTCTCCAGCCATAGGTTCTGAACCGCATGCATCCGCGCCCATCGAACTTGATCAGGCGCCGATTGATGAAGCTATGTACCTAGGGTAGGGTCATGGACCTGTCCAAACTACCCTCTCCAAGGACATCTCTAGAAGAAACCACCTTTCAATCGACTCATAAGTGTTCCACTCGACGGACTCGAAGACACTCGACCATGAAGCCAACCACTCGACAACCAGGAGATCTAAAGTTGCTCTGCACACAATCGGCCAGTCATTAAGTAGCCTTTATGGTCATCATAGCACTTTATTTGTGGCGTTACCAGTAACGCCCGATCTTAATGTACCTTAAACCCTACATAACTGAGGGTCGGAGGGGTCTGGCGAACTCTATATAAGCTACCCCCCTCCTCAGTGTAAAGGGTTCGCACCCCTGTAACTCATACACACATAATACAGTCGACTGCCTCCGGGCTCCGAGACGTAGGGCTGTTACTTCCTCCAAGAAGGGCCTGAACTCGTAAATCTCTTGCGTATACAACTACTCCAAGCTAGGATCTTGCCTCTCCATTCCTACCTCCCTACACTACTGTCAGACTTAGAACCACGACAGTTGGTGCCCACCTTGGGGCAGGTATCTTAGCGACTTATTGGAGAAGTTGCGATTTTTCCGATCTCCTTCATGATGGTTTCAGGCGGAGCTCTGGTTGAGGGCCGCGAGATCCATCTCGGAGCGCTCACGTTCATCACCGACGACTCCGCTTGGCTTCAGGAGGCTCGGCTCGACATCGACGCGCTCCCTGTCCGCGGGGCGACACACTTTTGCGCGCGCGTCCGCGGCGTCCTCCTGCGGCAACCGTCGACCCAGTATCGGTCGGCTCCTGTGTCGTCCTCCCTCCCTATTTCCCACCGGCGCAAGTGCTCCGGTCGGTCGAGGCTTCAGCGGTGGGTGAGGCACGCGGTGGCTCGCCAGTCGGCCACCCCCCAAGTCGCGGCGATCGAGCCCGACGAATCTCTCTACGGCCTGTTCGACCTGTCGACTGGCTCCGTAGAGACTGCATCCGACTGTGACAGCAGTGATCCAGCGGTGGAGGTTCTGATGGTCAATGGACCACGCAGTCCTCCCAGTTTTCACCGCACTGACGGAGACAACGACGGAGGCGATCCGTCGCATGCCCATGAAGAGTATCTCCCCGAGCCCCTCACTTCCCTGCAGAGGGAAGAACTTCGCCGCCGGAACATGGATGCGCTGCACACTCCTATCATTGGAGAAACCCCCGAGGCTCGTGCCTTAGAAGACGCGCGCTTGGCCAACTTGGCTGAGCGCACTTGACTGGAGAACCTCCAACGAGCACTCGACGACCGTGCGCGGCAGCAGGTTCCAGAATCCAGTCGACGTCAACTCTTTCCACCACCGACTCGGGTATATCAAACTCCGATTCAGAATTTAGCGGCGGCAGCCCGTATAGCAGAGTCGATTCAGCCTTCCCAGTCAGAGGCTGGCAGAGGCTTGTTACAGATCAGAGCATTACTCCGGTCGGCAGGAGATCAAAATTCAGCTGTATCGCAGTCGCGGAATAGGATTCATAGCAGATCCATCGCTGCAAATACATTCCAGTCGGCCCATAGCCCAAGATCGCCCCCGAGGCGTGAGGGACGTGGAGACCGGCTTGATCAGTACAAGGACCGTGAGCAGTATGATCACCGACTCGATCGTGATGATCGACGTCAAGTGCCCGCCCCTCCCCCAAGGAGTGGATCGTACACGCCTCGACAGCAGGATGACAGACGCCATCACAGTGTTGGGTGAAGGATTCCAGTCGACCCCAGAGAACCAGACTTTGATGCGAGATCCATTATCG